CCCTAAAGGCAAAATCGAAATATTTCTACAAATGCCTTTTTGATTCTAAAAAATGGGTATCGTGGCGGAAACCCAAAAAGGAGCTGGAAATCAACAGTTCCTTTCGTTTCTTTCTAAAAAAAAGCATCACTTGAGCTACGTCTGTTAAATTGAGCTATCCTTCTGTCATCGAAGCAAATGAAAGAGCATTACTGATAACTTGTTGGTTGACCCTATCGGTTTTTTTTTTATCCCAGACAATAACAACTGACAAAAGGATAGTTTTTCACCAGCCATGAAAGCCGGCTAACCTTCACTGTCAAATAAAAGAAGAAGGAAAAAAAGAAGAATGCTCAGTGCATGGAGCATAATTTTCAAGATACGATCGATGAGTTCCTGGTTGGTTGGAGATTGCATGATCCGGTGTAAGCGAAAGACACTTACAGACACGCGTGCTTGATTCGTGAGTTTTGCCTGGGTAACTTAGGGTAAAGTACCCAAAATATGACGGCAATGATTTTTTCCTCGGCAACTGATCTTTGATACAAATTAAGAACACTTATTCATGTTATCGTCAGATTCATGAATGAAATGGATCTTAGAAAAGTATGCTGGCACAAGAGATTTTGTGTGCAATGCTTCAGTTGCACTTGTGACATTGCATTAAACACGGAAGGAAGGTTAAAGATCAAGAAGACAGTGGCTGGTTCGGGTTTTTAGTAATGAAAATAGATTGGTTTAATTATAAACGAAAATGCGATTAGGGACCCAAGGGGCGAAAGACATTTTAACAGAAAAACTACAATAACTACAACAACAAAAATAGACACAGAACTTGGATTAAAATTAATCTTACTACCTTTTTATCCGAATTTTGATATCGGCTTCCCAAGACCCCTGTTTTCGGCTTTCCTGATTTCAGCTTTTTGCTTTTCAAATGAGCTTTCTTTGGAACGCGTTTATTGTTTCCGCGAGCGCAAAGTTTATCATTTTTATCTGCAAATGTTTACGATACCTTTTGATGAAAATTTATCGGAAACTTAAATCCAATCGACTTTATCGAATTCTTCCGTGTAGAATGCAGATTTGATTCAAAGCTTCAAATGAAATCGATCAAGCCAAGTCAATTATGAGTAAATCAAAATTACGGTAAACTGAATTTAGCCAAATCGCGAAATTCTCGTCTCGGTAAAATGCCTGCCTTCCATTTTCTCGAAATTCAGTGTCATGAAACTATAAGTCAATGCGCATCCCAAAACGTCTTCTCGCAATAGGACAAAAAGCGTTTAACACTCACCTGTCGCTTTTTCAGCCTCAAGGAATTTTTTTTGCAGCATTTCCTGATTCAGCAAGTTTTAGATCGCGATGTTTGCGTGCTGATTTACCTTTTAAGTGGGCGAATACGCCTCCTTGTACTTTCTCTTTTGAAGCATTTCCTGATAAAGCAAGTTTCAAGATCCATCTACGACGTTTGCGGGCTGAATACGCCTTCTTGTAATTTCTCATTTTTTCTATCAGCATCAACCTGTGATTATAAGGGCGTGCACAGGGGAAAGAGTGCTAGCCAAGGTAACCCCTATTACAGAGTTCTGTTCAATGTGGTAACAAATTCCATCACAACTGCTGACTTGTCATTCCTATATTGTGTCAAAATTAATTCTTTTACTCTGTCGTATTCAGCCTGAGCCAGTCTTTCTGCACTTTTAATCAGCTTCATTACTGCTCTGTGTATTCCAGCCAGGTCAAGTTTTTCCATCTCACGTATGTAATATTTTAAGGTTTCCTTTACGCTAGCGATAATTTACCGGAGTAAACATCGCGAACTACCTTTTTTTAATTGATTTAGAATTTCCTTAACTGCGACAAGCACGTGGTTTTACTTATGATATTCAGTTCATCAGGACCTTGAAGTTTCCCATCAAACTTACCAACTTTTCCTTTACTCAGTAACATCTTCTAATCAACAATGATGCGGTCATCCTTCCATTATTTTCAAATCAGAAGATTAAAAGTGCAATTCCTCGTGAAATGGTAGATTTTTTTCCCACTAATCGACCGGAAAGTAAATCATGAGAAATCTTAAACTTTTCTTTGAAATTGCAACCCTGCTTACGTGGTTGACTTGAGGATTACCTCAATTTCAGTGACAGAATTAACACCCAAGCGTGGAGAATTATTTCACGTCCTATGAATGGTTTTTGTCTCTTTTATGCTTCTATATCTAGGTTTACTTTATTGTTTGACCGTAAAACTTCAAAATAAAAATGTTATGATTTTTCAGGAAAGGAAAGTTTTGAAGAAAATTTTTCGTCGCCGAAATATGTAGTTAATTTATGCATAACAGCCAATGAACTCTAACCGCACCAGCGTACGGAGATTCGGCGTAACAAATTTTATCATGTCCCATAAAACGTGGACTGACAAATTTATACGTAGAGACGGATTTTTTTTTCTTTAAATGAAGCAAATAACTTAACTTTTCTGGGCTAAACTCACAATCTACAGGTATTTAAATGAATATTGATATTGGACAAATTCTCCAGTCACGTGCCACTAGGCACGGACTTCTGCAGTCCTGACCAATTAGAGCGTAAATCGAAAAGGATTCCTATGCTACTGAGATGACTTCCTGGCAAAGAACGATTCTTTAAGTTATCCTGTATTGATTCATTTTCCTTTGAGGCGAATAATATTGATGTTAAATTAAATGGCGAATTATCGATTTGCTGTCACAAGAAATAAAGAGAAACCGGAAATCATAAGTTGTATTCGGGTTCATGATGTCATTGTTTTTTTTTTTTGTCACGTTTGTCAAATTAGGGAAGTCCTCCCCCCCTCGGTGGAGATGACACAGTCGTGAAGCAATAATTCTCTCTTCCTGCTACTTGCTATTTTGCGTTTTACAATTTCTGCGGTTATTTCGTCTCCACCACCCGACAAGAACACCCAACAGAAGGGCTGTCCTTCATCTTTACCCAATAAAACCCGTTCTACTCTCTGAAACAATAAGAGAAAAGCACCTTATTTTGGCGAGCACGTGGGAAAACGCGTATATATATCTATACATATGCATATGTAGATATATATACATGAAAAAAAAAAGAACAAAAAAACAAAAAGAGAAAAAAAAAAACAGAAGGAAGGCGTGCAGCTCACGTGCTAATTTAAGTACATGCGAAGGCAAAAGAAGGTTAAGGTGTTCGTACGGTTTCCTTCGTCGAGCACGTGAGATATACAACTTGAAAAACGTATGCTACATCAAGGAATTCACCACTGCAAAGCTTTTTTTGCACGCAAAGAGGAAATTTGTGCAGACACTGAGAGGTTAAAGATAAAAAAATTAAAAAATGCAACAGCTGCGGGCTGAAAGAATAATACGTCATGAAGTGAGAACAAATAATTTTGTTTTCGATCTATTTCCTACCGAATTCCGATCGAAATTTCTCCAAATAAGGACGAATGTTTATTATTGTGTTGCTTAATGAAAGAAACGATTACACTAAATAAATTTATCAAAGTGCATCCCAGGTACTCAGGCAATGTTGTTTTTAATCAGAATTTTGTACATTGGTGAGACTTACTGCCACAAAAGTATTCGTTATTTGCCGTTTAGTCTTCTCAAAATAGTTCATTTTGTTTTCTGTTCTCTTTGTGTATTTTTATACAACATAAGAATGTAACATTGTACGAGCCTTGAACGGTAAAAATCTCATTGTTGGAGATAGAAAGAAAACACACATGAAGTTAGGACTATTCGAATATAAAAAGGACTTTAAAGCGCTTAACTTTTTTAAAACATTGCCGAAGTGATCCCACCAATTTATATAGAAAAGAATTCAGGTCAGAGAGGTTGCTGATCGAACAAATAGTCTTAAGTTTCTTTCCGTACTCAGCCGAAATGCCAAGAGTGACAGATTGTAGTTGAAAATAATAAAACGTTTATACGGATTAAAACTAATCTTATTACTTTCATACCGGATTTTTTATATCCTCTTTTCGATATCATTGTTTTCCTTCTCGTATCACTGATTTAATTTTTTTTCTGCAAATTTTGTGCCGTCGCGTTTCCTCGCATATAGGTGGTTTGCAACCAATCTCTAGAGACACAGGTAACAATACTGAAAGGAACAAATGCTGGTGAACGAACAAAAGGAGCTAATGAGATATCTATTGTTTACGTCCACCAACATGGCGGCAATGACCTAATGTGCAAACCACCTATGTGTTTTTTATTTAATTTATTTCTGGGCGATGAATCCTTGGCTGTGATTTCTAGTGAACATTCATTGCTATAAAGCTATTACCCGAAAGCTTTTAAGCTTTTGAAACTGAAAATCTCAATTTTTCTAGACTTCCTCTGACAGTTTAAGAATTCTGTTAGGGCTTGGCTTTGATTTACAAACAAACGAACAGAGGTTAACGATTGAACCTCAGAGCACACTATTTGAAGTTCTCCTGAAATTTTGCTGAAGCATACATCAGAAGAGCTCCTCTCACGTACACCTAAATACGCTATTTCAACGATCACTTTTTGTTCTGGGCTAAGACACGACTGATGTGAAATTTGCAACCAGAAGTGGCCCATTATGGGGGCAATGCATAAACTAAGACATTTCCGACTGTCGAAATTCTGGACGTATCGATGAAACCAAACGCCACTCCAATAACGAGGAGAGCATCGTTCGCAGTCTTTTTACTTGATCCGCAGTTTATCGAGAAGAAGGTTAAAGAATTTATTTCAGCCATTTTCTAGGACAAATATTATCCCTCGCTATACTCAAAATATGGTCAGTTCAGTAACCCTGGAGTTTGTTTTGTTTGGTGAAGTGTTGAGGAGTTTGAGTACCTCATAAGAATGTTAGAATGTAACACAAGGTACTGATGCTTTCACAAAGCATTCCTAGAATTATGGGAGTTAATCTTGCGAACTTTGACCGCATACACAACAAAAAAAAACTAAAAAGAGAAGGACTTTGAATTTCGAACAATATTTGTCAAAGATCGCAAAAGTTTTCAAAACGTTGGCGCAGTCTCACCACTCTGCGGTTAGCATATTGTCACCCGATATCCCGCGGCTACGTGTTACATTTTATGAGTTTCCTGTCAAGGTAATTTGCTACCTGCCATCGCCTTTTGGAGGGATAGACATAACTCATCGATCGTTTCCCGTGTGACGTACACTCAGCGTTCTACATAAAGCCGCGAATTCGGAGCACGAATCTTCCAAATACCACATCTGACGCGTGAAAGCCATGGCGCTAGCACCTAACGGTTTACTGTGTTTTGTCCTAATGACGATTTTGATCAACAGATCTCTAATGTCTCCTGTAGCGAAACAACATACGGCAGCGTTTGATGAGATAGCCAGAGTCAATAAGAATTATGGTAAGGCTTTTCCACTCTCTTTTTGTCAATGTAAGAAATGTTTGTTTTCTTACGCGAAAGATCGTGGAAGTATGTGAATGATGAAGGGTTGTAGATTCGCGTGAAGGCAAAACATCGGTTTATTTGTTTCCCCTTCGGCTGTTAGTTTGAATCGTTCGGTTTGCGCAAGCTAAGTGATCTTCGAGCCGTCATCAGTTTTGAGCTCAATTGTTTCCATTTCTTTAAAGGAGGACCACAGTCCACTTAGCTCTGACAAAATATTTTTGGAAACGGTTTTAAGAGTTACCTAATAAAACCAACACTTTGCCAGCATTTCAACAGTTCCATCGCTTTAGAAATTCAAACCGCCATTCATTACATAAATTTTGGTGTCAGAGTTAAAACCTTTAATCAAATTGCTTTTACTCCTTAGTAAGAACTGTGCTACTTTCGCTCAATAAAGAAAAGTGTTCCTTGAAAGAGTTAACTCTAACATTAAGTTCGACGTGAGTATTATCAAGAGTAAGCTGTAAGAAATTTCTATAGAAAAAAATTGGCAAAGAGAGCTGATTGATGCGGATAAAAGTGGTGTGCTAATTTCTCAGATTTCAGTGCGTAACAATCATGACCCTAATTGTAGCAAAACAACAGCAAGGATAATACATATAGCCGTTTTTGCAATACCTTTCGCGAGAGAGAACCGCAAACAGCGGTCCTATGTAGATTAGTGTTCAAAGCTGGGAATTCGCCTTCGAATGCTAATAATCAGGTTTGACGGGTCTGATGATGTCTTAGTATACACTTAGCGAATATCTGTGTTCGATTCCTGAGTAGATTGAAGCCTTCAACGCGGCAGAATTCTTCTGAGTATGTTTGGACTGGGTTATATTACACCAAATATGCTAAACATCGCAATTGATTGCAGACAACATACTGAGAGCAGAGTGAAAATCTCCAAAAACGAGTCAGAAACTTGATCATGGCATATACCAAAAACCTCGTCGGTTTATTTGATCCATCGGTCAGGAAAAAAAAATTGGGTTATTTTGTGTCGGTATTTCAACGAAAAGCATTCCACAACGAAGGAAAGCTTATCTAGGAGAGACTTGTCTCTTCTGATTTTCTCGCTCTAAGATAGCCCCGTCAAAGCAATCAAACACATTTGTCTAATATCGTGCTTGTAATACAAAACATGAGGTGGCTAAACGATCAAACATAATAAGCTCGAGAAGCTAATGCGATGTTGAAAGCGGCAAAAAAACTTGTTCTTCAAACCTCATGTTTCTTTAAGAGTTGCGTTGAAGTTCGTTGAACTCTTACACTGTATCGTACAGCTTGTCTTCAAATAAACGCTCTTCAGTAGCAAATCCTTGGGATTTGATGAAACAAGAGACTTTTGGCTCCAGTCTCTCTCTGCGTTCACTCCCAGGTTGGGGCATAGGAGTGTAAATTGACTTGTTGTATTTGAAAATGATTTCACAAATTTTACCAGTTTTCAATCTGTATTATTCAACAAATATCTGGTGATTAACTGACATATTTCCCCAGGATATTACATGTATTACCACTAGGGAAGCTGGCCCTACCGCTACACCTGATAATCTGTCACAATAAAACCGGCTCCAATTCATAAACGCTTGATTGAAAAGCCCTTTTACGATTTCGACGCGTTGTCGCGAACGGATTACATTATATTTTCACAGTTGATTGGATACTGCCTGGTAAGAAAACCAGCCTGGCAGGAAAACCAAAACACTCCAGCTGTGATTCTGCATCAGATTGTTAGATGATGGAAGTAGCTTACTTTCTAGCTGAGTTGTCTTATAATGATAGGCGCCTAGATTCGGAGATAGTATGATACACAGCGAATTTAATTACTACCTACACATCTGGTGTAGACAGCTACGTCATAATTATTTCCGTTTCGTGAGGTAATCTTAGTAAGCAGATAACAACTTCGTAACACGCACATGTACGCACTGGGCATAACTATAAACTGTTAATTTTTATTCTAATAATATGTGTGCCCCCCCTTTTTTTTTGAATGAAAACCCAATTCTAATTGGCCTCTCGAAGAGTGTGAGCGCATTTAGGGCATTTACCAGTCGCACTTCAAAGTTTCTTTAGATTAAATTTTTCACATAAAAAGGCATTGTCTTTGGCGGTAGATTCTGCAAATCAATTTTCAAATTGTTTATTGTTTGTTCAGGCTGACTGGTCATAACAGGAAAAGGTAAAGTCTTTCAAGCCGGAACTAAACTACCGTATTAAATCGGCTCCGAAAGTGGTTTTGTTGACAGCCGACACGACTTCACGGAACCTCTCAAAAACTCTAATGCAACGAACTTTGTTTTAGAGTGTACCACATGTACATGTGCAACAAATAATAACAGCAAATTTATTTATTTTAGAAATAAAAAACACATCTAACAATCCCCAGCCGCAAAATAGCGAAACTAGTCGAGGCGGTAGGGACATCTCTAGCTGATATTTAACACAGACGGGATCATTCTCTTTTACCTCTAAAGTTATCCCATTTTAGCTGTTTATTTTTTTTTTCTGAGGCGCAGTGGATTTTTACATTCATCAGCGTTAAAAGAAAAATGAAATAAATATCTCAAGAACTATGTAAATCAAATATTTTTCTGCCAAAGTTGCTTCAAAAGATTTGATCGCAATTCTTAAACCAAAAATTGGAATAATACAACTAAAAGTGACTTTGAGAATGGAACGAGGACGTTTTTATTTTTCAACTGTTTTGTTTTTTGCTGAGATCTCGTGTGAGTCGTGTCCAGTCTTAATTAATGAATCAAAGGTGTCATTATGGCAAGGGATTTAGCTGAACCTTTTTTTTTTCAAATGCATTAGGCGGACAGCCTCCATTGTCCAAGATAGTGTCCACTTGATATAAGACCCACTTATGTGTGATTTCACTGTGGCATTAAAAGAAGAAAAACGATTGCCATAAGCTTGGACTGTTCACTCCACGCAAACGTCATGAAATGTTCAGCGAGCACGTGCAGCTTACACAAGCAGAATTTCCATTTTATCGATCACGCTTGTGGCTTTCTGTATAGTTTAAAGACACATTTACTTTTCCATATCACGTCAACCTCTTGACCTTGACGATGAGTTCATGTGTCTATCAGCGGCAGTCAATGGACATGAAATTGAAACACTTCGCACGACCTAATGACACTGGTGCGTTGCAAAGATAACATGATCGGACAAATTGGATTTTTTTAAGTAGCATGTCCACAAAATACCTCCCGGTGCGATGTTTTAGGGTTTGGAATTGGACATGTATGGATTTGTGGGAAAGGAGAACCTGGAAATTCGGAAAAAAAAACGGACGCGACTCACATGAGGCTCTAGAGATGTCGAAACATTGAAGAATTCCATACTGCTCTTAAGGTCAAACCTTGATGGCTAAAACAAATTTAAGAAACAGAAGTCTTGAATCTAGTCCAGAAATGCTTGGAACCTAGCCCATGACCCGATAAGCCGATAAGAGCATATGTTTCTTTCTTTTTTATTTTTTATTTTTTTTTTGCTGTTTTGCAACAGGGAAAATAAATTGTTTAGAAGCAAAAAGCAGGCCATACCTTGCTACCAATTTTTATTTATCTAACGAAAAAAACAAAAAACAGGAAAGTTTCGAAGTTATTTCAGCCCAGAAAGATCAACAAAAATTTTTTATTACATAGGTGAAGTTTGACTTGGTAGTTTTCGTAGGAAAACAGCCCTTCGTGAACAAACAGAGATGTGCTTTCAATTGTTTGCTTTTAAGGAGACGTTTGAGTTATCAGTGACATCGGTGATATACGTTTCAACGTGTCTTATCAACACAGTAATCCAATCGGGTCCTTTACTGAAAGTGATGACCTTCTTGGCTATTTTGGTTAAGGGGCCGACCATTTAACTTTTGAGGGG